ACTGTACGAGATCAACACGCCCCACCTGATCGAACAAGCAACCGAGGAAAACAAAGAAAAAATGAAAGTCGACCACCTCCTCATGGTAGGCGAGGGCCTTCCAGAGACCTCAGTCCCTCCAACATCCGTCCCGACATCTGATACCCCGGCACCCCGCGGCCGGACAAAGGGCATAGCCCGCCGCGACATCCAGAAACGAGCTGACACAATCGTGAACACGAAGCTGGCTCCTCGGGCCGTGGCGAGTAAATTAACCACTGCGGGCGAGACGGAGCCACCTGCGACTCCGCAGGGCACTGGGTCGAGTTCTGCGCCTCGTGGTTTAGCTAAGCAGGTTTCTGCTACTGGAGATGGCTCAGCTGAACAGAGAGATGAACATGACAGTGTTGACGATACTGAGCTGAGCGATAATGAAGACACGAAGCTAGGGGACGAGGGGATCTCGGCGCTTTTCCCTCATGTTACTGATGCAGAGGAAGGGGGGACTGGTGATGAAGGTGCGGATGAAGGGGACGGTGAAGATGATGAGGGCGGTCATGAGAATGAAGGCGAAGATGGGGAGGGCGATGGGGATGGAGATGGTGAAGGTGATCATGGTGTGACTGAGGGCGAGGCAGACGAAGATGAGGAGATGCAGGATGAGGAAACAAAGTTGGAGGAAGAAGACAAAGAGGAGAAGGACATGCTCACTGCCGATCAGTCTCCCAATGATACTGAGACAGAGCATGTCGCGGACAAACGAGATACCGGGGAACAAGATGCCATGGACATTACGTCCTCGGAGTTCTGAGGAATATGCTATACGTCCAAGGGGGGATTTGCTTTCTTTTTCGTTTTCGGTCTATGGAGCACATGGAGTGTTCTTCCCAAGACGGGATATTTTAACACTACAGGATGGCGTTGAGAGACAGGTGGCTTAAATGGCTTACGAGCTAGCATGTACAATATGTATTCGCAAAATCCAATTCTAGGATTGTGAATTGGGAAATGAAATATCAACAATTATTAAACAAAGGATTGATTGTCCCCAAACGCCTTAGCCAAGGGATATCATTCCATATTAACCAAAAATAAAGATCAACCCAGGTATTAAAAGTTCTAGTATCTCAAGCAGCAAAAGAAGAGTAAGTCGTGACAGTCATGATGAAGTAGAGGAAACAAGATCGCTTAGATCTGGTCCTCTGGGGCGAGGTCCCATTTGCGGGTTCCCATTTTCCTGATCTTCTTGATCGGTGAGGCTCCTGGAGAGGGAGGAGCAAACATGGTATCTGCGAGCTTCAATTGATCCATGCGTTGCAACGCATTCTCAATATCGCTCTCACGGCCGAGAAGATTGGACCGCGCGGGGGTAGCATTCTTTTGTCTATGTTTTCTTGTCGGGGATTGGTTGTGCATCTCACGCTCAAGAGCGGCGAGTTTGCGGCGAAGCTCGTCATTTTCTTGCTCAAGCTCTTCCACTCGTTCGTTCGACCCCGAATCTTCAAAGACTGGAGATAAAGGTCAGTTCGAGAGTACGTATATTTCGCTCTTTATGGGCCAACTTACTTTGGAATCCACGGGATACAAGCTCGACCTTCTTGTCGATGTGCTCATCATTGCGACCAATCTGGAAATTGTTAGCGTGTGACAATTTTTGAGCGGGTCCGAGGTTACAAACCTGCTCATCCCATGCCCTCTGCCAGCGGCGTCTTTCTTCTTCCGATTTCTCATCCATCTCTGCCCAGCATTCTTCTCGTACATCTTGCTCGATGGTGAGACATCTTTCTTCGGCAGCTCTCAGTCTCATCTCAACATCCGACCGTGCAATCTCTTCTTCGGCTAGCTTGACAGCAAGGCCGTGGCAATCGCGTGTGAGGCGTGTGATCTCGGCAACAGCTCTCTCGAGCTCTTCGGTCGAATCAAAATTTGGTGAAGTGCAGCCACTGACTGAGCGGTGACTACCAGAAGCGACAGATAATATAGATTCAGAAACCGAGGGAACTCTAGGAACGGTAACCTCACGAGCCAACGCGGAGTAACGCAAAATTTGGGAGGTGGCGTTGAAATCACCGAGAGGGTCAGCAGTGACGATCATGATACCCTTTTGGGGATATTGGCCTCTGGACATCTGATGAGGCGACGGGAATGAATTTGAAAACAGGAGTTCGGTCAATTTGCACTGCCGGTAAGGAACGAGAGCCGTCTTTGTAGGTCAGCAGCTGCCAAAAGAAGCACACCAACGATGAGTAAGAAACATACCTTCATTCCATCTTGTATGTTGCTTTGCATCTGCAGGCATTGGCCAAGATACATCAAGCTTTCGTTGATTTTGCCGGCCTCAGCAAGTGTGGCACCCGCTGTCTTCGCCGTTCTCGCACGCTCGGAGCCTAGATTAGTTAGTAGCAGCCCTACAGTAAGAATGCAACGTGCTCACCAGCAAGATCCACGACAGTGAGGGCATTTCCAGCCCAGCTGTGTTCACCAGTTCGCTTTGAGTATGTCCGCTTCTTGACCTCCAGGGAAAAGAAGCCATGACTTCGAGAGCTAACGCTATTCATTCCAGTACCAGTTACCTTACGTTCGGTTAAGCCAACGTCCAAAATTGCCAGTGCTTCCTCGTAGCTACCACAGGCAATTTTGCGTAGTCCCGCAACCAGTTTCCGGTCTGGTGAGCCCTCGGTAGGCTTGAAGAGCAATGGACGCCGTCGATCCTTTTGGTTATTCCCGCGGGACATTGTACCTTGACCCGAGACGATAGAGGGAGACAGTAGATCGAAGATTCGGTCATTGTATACCTCATACATTGACACCAAGACGACATAGTCGGCATTTGAATCCATGTCCACAGTAAGGTGGCTCATATCGGGCAGCCTAGGAAGGGCGCATGGTCGTTCACGTATGTGACGGCGGGGGAAGTTCAAGGCAGGCGTGGGTTCCTTAAAGACATAAAGTCGAGATTTAGCTGATTTGGGCTCAAATAGATTGGAGTGGGTGTAGGGGATAGGATTAGAAAATCCCGGGGTAATCCATCCACAGGACTCAGTCGAGACCTGGCCAAAGCCAGCTCGAGAAGCGTCATTGTGACTGATAGAAGACAAATCCACCTTACGGGGGCTTCCGGGTTTAGATCTTGGCCTCGGGAGAGACGATCCAGGGGTGTGCGGGCGCGGGGTCGGAGATCCTTGGGGGGAGTTCAGGGTAAAGGGGCTTCGTACCATCAAAGGGGTATTGGCACGAGATGGGCTCATGGGTGTTTGCGCTCTCGACGTACGTCCAGTTGGCTCGCCATACACGGCTTCCAAAAATGTCTGTGCGGAGAACAATTGGGCTTCAGAGGCGTCCGCGGCAGCCAGCGAGGCAAGCATTACGGGGGTAATGCTACCGTCGTTACTTTTGGCTGTCGGCTCTAGGGAGCGGAAGATAACGTCAAGTGCCATTTGGGTCATTCCTCGTTCGGTCTTGGATCCTAGAATGGTGTGGCTCTGTATATGATCAACACATTAGTTTAGTGATCACGATACTGTAATATTAGGGAACAGACTTTTCCGCTCCCTGTGACGCCCAGGGTAGCGACTAGCCCATCTCGGTTCTCCTTCAGCACTCCGCGTATGATGGGCTCCATCCCAGTGTCATGGAAGACATCCAATTGCGAAGAACCCTCCTCAAAGACCTTTGTGAAACCAAACCTCTCAACGGCGCGCTTTCTCGTATCATTTGGTGGTTGAAGAGTAATGTGTGTCGATCCCGGCAAGACGATCTCTGTTTCCTCCTGTGAAGCCTCTGGCGGCTCAACATTCAAAAAACGGTCCGATTCATTGGCTTTTTGGGCCATCGGGGGCCGTAACCGGAGATAAACCTGGAACAGCGATGTCTGAGGCTGCTTGGGCGGCATTTTGGGCGGCTTGTGGGTATCGAGGAAACACGAGGGCCGGCGACGTTGGACCTTTGAAGTTGTGGGGTTGAAACACGCTGAGCAGTCAAACTTGGAAAGTCCAGAACGTCCACAGATCAACATTGCGCTTACCGCTTTTGGTTAACCGTTACCCTGACAACTCCCATATCACGTGCTACTATATTCGATTCATGCGAAGAACATTTGAACCTTGGAACAGATGGGATACGATCATTTCTCCCACATTTAGAAAGTCCCAAGCATAGATAGCAATGAAAAAAGACAGAGATTCACAATATTACTCCTTACCTTACTATGTAACCTCCAAGTCTACATTGGCGCATCCATAGGTACATATCAGTACACCCAGGCCAGTTCAGAGCTGGCTTTCTAATAGAACTATTATCTCCACTTGAATGGAATACAGCATCTATATTAGCGTGTATATGTTGGATCTCGGATGTGGCATTGTTGCTCCTGTCGGGAGAGCCCACGGGCTCTATCAGCTTAAGTTGGCCTCCGTATTTAGGAAGTCCCGAGGTATCCCCGAGCTATATGCCCATTATTATCAATCTCTATACGGGGCACTCTGTACACATATGTCGGTTGATGTTGAATTAAATGACGCTAAAGCCCAATCCTGTGCACTTGAAAGCAAGCGAAAACGAGGTTACTTAGGTTGGAATAGCGCAAAAGAAGGTTAGCGAATCATAAGTCAAGGATCTGTGCCAGTGAACTTCGTATTTGGAGCCGCTCGGCGCAGAGACAAATACGAGGCCATTTTAGGCCCAAGCGTCAATCGCTACTATCCTTTGTGGGTGCAGGCAAATTGAATACTTATGGAGCCAAAATAGAAATCACGAGCCGTTCAAAAGTTAAAGGAATACGAAATTACCCTAAATGAACACTGTCTAGGTCATAAGAGACTGGAACGTCGAACTATATGTATTTACCTATGCCGTGCAAATTTTGTATATATAGATGTCTAACGTCCGCTAACCTACTCAATTAATTCAAGAAAACACTCATACTCTTCAACCTGCCTTCAATTACATCAACTACACAGTAGTGTTTTCACACAAACTTGATTGTTCGCACCCAAAATTATATAGTTGGTGGGACTATAACAATGCTCGAGGCAAGGTCATCATATCGTAAGTGGCCCACGAAGTCAATCATGATCAATAGCTTCTCTGACAAATCAAAGAGGAGGGAAGCTTGTGGTTCTATGCGCCGAATAAAGGCGCTGCAATTGCCTTCGCGATTCTCTTCGCTATATCCGGTGGTATCCATGGGTACCAATGCTTGTATGTGACACCTACCAACTACGAGCCCTCAAATTAACCAGATATCCCAGCAGATACAAGTCCTGGAAAGTCACCGGCCTTCTTCCATGGTCTGCCCTTCTGTTCACGGCAGGTTTTATTACGCGAACTATTGGAGCGTTCGGGCAGTGGGGAAATATAGGCGTCTTTATCGCAAGTACCGTGCTTCTCCTCGCCGGACCGTAAGGAGTACCCATCCCGTTCATGAGATGCGCTACTGACAGCAAACCTTCGACTATTCTAGACCAGTATATGAGGGTGCCAACTTCTTTATTTTGGGTCGCATACTCTACTACATCCCATACCACTCTCCCATCCACCCTGGCCGCGTATTCACGACCTTTGTCGCCTTGGGTGTGGCCATTGAAAGCATTACCGCAAACGGAGCGGCTCGAGTCGCAAGTGCAGATTCTAGTGTCAACTCGCAAAACACTGGCAAGGCACTGCTGAAGGCGGCGCTTATCATGCAGATTTTTCTAATGACGGGCTTTGTGACTTTGGCCGGCCGATTCCACTTCAACTGCTCCCGAGGGGGCGTGTTGAACCACAAGATCAAGCATGCCCTATTGGTTCTTTACTGCAGCTGTACCCTCATCACGATCCGTACCATCTATCGCACCGTGGAATACTTTACTGCCGCGAGTCTGAATGCCTACGCTGACCTCGAAAATATCAGTCCTGTATTGAAACAGGAGTGGTTCTTCTGGTTTTTCGAGGTTGTGTTCATGTACAGCAATACCACTTTGCTGAATGTTTTTCATCCCATGCACTGGCTTCCGCGATCAAACAAAATTTATCTTGCTAAAGACGGTGTCACAGAGATCGAGGGCCCTGGCTATGACGATCCCCGACATTGGCTCCAGACTGTCGTCGACCCATTTGATATATACGGACTGATCGTTAACCGAGGCAAGAAAGAACAGTATTGGGAAGCGAGTCCAACTCAGAGACAGGAAACCACTGCTAAACCCATTCAAGGGGTATGAGAGCATTTTGTGTGGGTATATTTCCTTCTTTCTTTGATATTCAGATTGTTACTTGGGCTCTTACCTTTTGTTTAACTCGTCCTGATATAACTTGTATCTCATGTACTTTATAGAATATGCATTCACTTAAAATGGCAGATATATATATCAAACAAACAAAAGCCTATAGCTCACCAATCTTCTTTTTCTTTACCAAGCTCCTCTTGGATTTCCCAACTATACCGAGCAAACTTGCTCGCCCGACGAATCCGCTCTCCATAACAGATAAACACAGGCGGGACTATACAAAACGCAGTTGCCACAGCGGCAAGCACAGACATAGCAACATTATTTCCCAACCGATCAAACATCTGTGTGGTAAATAGCGGAAAGACACCCGATAGTAGCGCTCGCATGAATGCAACAGCAGCAGTGGCACTGGCCGAATAACTCAGATAAGCATCGGATATATACCCATACAGCACGGTATCCATTTCCGTCAGCGCATAGCCCACCAGAACGAGGGACATCGTGGGCACAATCCACGGAGTGTGAGTCTCAGGTGGAATAGTCCAGGCAAACCACCACAGACCGATCGCTAAGAATGGACCACCAAGGCCTAGCCCGACGAGCTTGTATTCCGGTTTAATAGGGCGTCCCTGTCTGTGGAAATAGTTGAGAATGTAGCTATCTAGCACGCGGGTCAATGTGCTGAGACAGGTTCCCAGGCCGATAGCGATGAACATTAGCGAAGCGTCGGTTTTTGCAAATCCCATTGACTCGTAGATGGGTTGGAGGGCTTCTGTGAAGATGTAGATGAGGGACATGGCAATGGAAATCATCATTGCGATGACGAAAATGATTGGTTCTTGGAAGAAGAGCTGAACTGGGCGAAAGAGGGCTTCTTTTACAAATGTGTTGAGATCCGGGATACGATCGTGGCTGAGCGGCGGTGGAATAGTTTGCACAGTAGTCATACCGGTGACCCGTTTCACCTCGTAAGCCAGCAACAAGGAAGGTCGTGATTCCCGAATGAAGCAGAGGCCACCTGTAATTGCAGCAATAATGATGGCAAAGATATAGAAGTTCCATCGCCTAGATAGTTGTGAGAAATTTACATAGACCATAGTTGCGGGCTACATACCAGTCAAGACTTGCAATAATATAGCTGCTCATGATGGGTCCAAGAATCAGACCAATGTTTGAAGCAACTGTCCAATAATACATGGTCCATATGCGAGCATGCGAGTTGAACATATCTTCGATACTGCCGCCAATTATGGTATAAGGGATCGCAGAAAGAAGCCCGGCGATGATGCGCATGACGATAACGACCGGCATTGAACGAACGAGACCGATGATTACACAGCAAATGGCGCTGAGACCACTGCTCACAATGTACATGTTCTTGCGTCCAAATGTTTCCGACCACGGAGGAAATAGGATGGTGCCTGCCACCTGACCTAGAAGGAATCTGTTCAATGTTAGATATGCAAGGTAGACCAAGACTAGCTGATCTCACAATGTGACAAATATAAAAATAGAAAGCGTTTCACTGATACTGTATTCATGTTTGGCTTGTCCAGCAGCAGCCGACTAAAAAAGACCAGGTTGTTAGCTCGGTGATATTGTAGGTTGTGAGTAGCCGTATACACTCACACCTGCGGTGCTGGATGCTGTTCTGCAAATATTGTTAGCCTATTGACAAAACGACGCTGGGATTTAGTCTGTCCATACATAAAAAGATCCAAGAGACAGATAAGAACAATATCGTAAGTCTTTCGTAGACTAGACCAATTTCGAGGATGCCTGGGGTGATCTCGCAACCATCGCACATATTTTCCATCTGGGGTGAGCTCAAGAAAATGGTCATGTAGGAGCTCAATAGCTGAAAGTTCGGGCTCGCCTGTCGATAATGTCAATTCTGAGGAGATAGACTGCATGTTGTGCAACCGTGGAGAAAATCATATAGAAAAGAATGTTTGGCCAAGTCAACTTTATCTGCCATACATCTGTCCTGGATGAAGCTGATCTTGGATGGGATTCGAGCTTTTATCATCTTCGCAAATGTTCTTGCTCGGACATTTTTATCTAAACCCTGCCCCGAGGAATGGGCCCCCTTGCGATCTACAGAGCGGATTTTTGGAGCTCAGTCGGCCATAGATACACACGCGTCAGTCACCTAAAGTTTCCTCGGGAATTTTGCTTATAATATACCGACTACTGAACTCCTATCTGCTAATAGGCGAGTTAGCTGAAGCATGGCAGGTAAGTCAAGCTTTATGTTTTGAGATCAAGTCTATACCGTCAACAGCACTACTATATATCTAATTGGTTGTTATATACTGCGGGGAATGATCACAGTTTTAGCAATTTTAGCCATGAGACATAGTCTAGTGACTTAATGTCTAGGGATAGCTATTTACAACATTCCTCATGGTGATATCTCCGCGCCTCACAAGTTGAAACCTTTAGAGTAATCAAAGAGTAATGAGTAAAAAAAAAAAAAGATCTGCTTATGATGTCAGGCTATTTAAATACTGCCTATAATGGATATCAAGTGAGGTATGACCGTATCCCAGAAAAAGGAACAAGCTTCGATCAATGATGTCCACTTGGCCCGCTCTTGTGTATTTCCCACGAGACCCCAGAATCTGTATGTATTTGCTTAAATTTGACATAGCAAATACAATCTTCGAGTGAATAAGCAAGTCAAGGCCACAGCGCGCGAGAAATAAGCACATCATGAACATCATTAGCTACATGTACATGGTTCCCCAGATAGAATGGGTATACAATCAAATCGATATAGGGTGGCATTCATAGTAAGCAAGTTAATAGCTATTTTTGAGTAGAGCATTGCATAATTTTAGCACACTTTTACCTCTGAAGTTGCCAACAAGCCTTTCGGATGGTCTACGGCGATCTATGTTCATCGACCTATGAAGAGCCTCGAAGAGAGCACACAGATCCCACTCTTGCTCTGTCTGGGCTCTGGTCAGTCTAACCTGACATTGCAGCTAAGCACACCTCTCTGTAGTCTACAGTGTAGCACATGTTCTCTCACAAGACGTGCAAAACGCTCAAATCCAATAAGCTCTTTGCTACAACCGATCGGAGTCCACGTTTATTGGACCGATTACCACATATAGAAGTAACTCCTATAACAAATATAAATGATCAGAGAAGGTTTCAATTTCTGAATCAGTTAAAATCCGATAAATGAACTCACATGTGGTACTACCTAGTTAGGTACAATATACAGGGTGGTTATACCTGCAAGGCGGAAAGCCAGTGGATCTGCGCCAAGGCGATCTCCGACGAGGCCACCTCTCCGCACCCTCTAGCTCTATTAAAACACAACCCAACCAGCTTAGCTAGCTGAACACAATAGGTATCGTTTTCATCAAACTATCTGCAGGAGAAAAAGAGAAAAACTAGTTCCTCAGCATCATTTCTGACCAGAATAGTCACTATTAGAGCGACCTACCCCAATCTTCCCGTCTATCCGTTGATCGCGAACCGCCCACCATGCTATCCTCCCTCTCCTCTAGCATCACAAATGCTCGGCAATCAATTGCGCAGGTGCTGAACTTTGCACTGGTTCTTTCCACAGCTTTTATGCTGTGGAAAGGCCTCTCGGTCGTGTCCGCATCAAGCTCTCCAATAGTTGTGGTTTTATCCGGTAAACAAAGCTATTTCATGGCGGCCTGAACACAGCTCACATTTCCTCTCCACAGGATCAATGGAACCCGCATTTCAACGCGGTGACCTGCTCTTTCTCTGGAATCGAGACACGAGGGCAGAGATTGGAGAAGTTCTCGTTTACAACGTTCGAGGAAAGTCTATTCCGATTGTCCACAGAGTTGTTCGCACCTTCCCTGAGGTAGAAGGACGCGTAAGCGCAAAGAAGGTGAAGGAAATTACAGTGTACGTCCTCGCCCATTACCAGACAATGTTTCTTGTGGCTGCTTCTTTGTGCTAACGAGGTTTTAGGGACACGACACCTAACATGCATATGCTCCTCACCAAGGTAAGTGTCCTAGTAATCTGACTGGCCTGTTACATTGCTAATAGTTCGCTAGGGTGACAACAATTTGGCAGACGACACTGAGCTGTACGCTCAAGGTAAGTGATGCGAAAGCTTGGAGGGAAGCCATTTCCGAAGGTTACTGACATTGTTAGACCAGGATTATCTCGACCGCAAGGAGGATATTGTTGGCAGTGTTCGTGGCTACATCCCCATGGTTGGATACGTTACTATCATGCTCAGCGAGCACCCTTGGCTCAAAACAGTGATGCTTGGACTCATGGGGCTGATGGTGATGATCCAGAGAGAGTAATGGGCGAAAATATACATTGGGTAATGGTAGAAATTGAACCAAATGCATTAAATATTACAATTGGAAGTATCAATGGGTACTCGGCGTCAATCATAGCGTTCGTTGACATGATGTATCTCGATGGAGCGGCAGACATATCAAACATCTCCACTGACGTCTTTTGCCGCGCACCCCACCCGGAGCTTCTAGCTTCGCCGTAAAAGCCCCTTTTGTTCTCCTGGCATCTTTCGCACATAAACATCTTTTCCATATTGTCTAGCAAATCATCATTTCATTTATTCCTTGCCTCGAGTTCTTCAAGCGCGTCTTGCACTAACGCGTCTCCCTGCATCCTTCCTCGACCTCCCCGCTCTTCTTATCGCCCCGCCAAATCCACAACTGAACACCACAATGGGCAGCATCAAGCGTATATCTAAGGTAAGTGCCTATCTTCCCACATGATCATCATAATCTATCAGTGTACTAACCATATATTCCAATTATAGGAGCTGACTGAGCTCACCGAATCCCCTCCGGAAGGGATCACGGTTGAACTGGCCGATGAGTCGAACGTGTACGAGTGGAAGATTATCATGGAAGGGCCTGAAGGCTCACCATATCATGTATGTGAAAACATAATCTAGCCCCCCCTTTATCTTCATCATCTCCCACCGAGGTCTCCAACGCGGGTTTCTGAACTCGATCCCCTCAATTCAAGTCCAACAAGCAGTGTCTCTAACCCCTTGGCAAACCACACAGAATGGCAAGTTCCTAGTCAAGCTCTCCCTACCCACGGAATACCCCTTCAAGCCACCGACAGTCTCTTTCGCAACCAAAATCTACCACCCAAACGTAACGAATGACGAAAAAGGAAGCATGTGTCTAGGCATGCTCCGGGCCGACGAATGGAAACCCAGCTCGAAGATCGCTGCAGTCCTTCAGTTCGCCCGACAGCTACTATCTGAGCCGATGCCCGACGACGCCATTGAGGGGCGGATCGCAGAGCAGTACAAAAACGATCGCGTTCGCTACGAGGAGGTTGCGCGGGAGTGGACTCGCAAGTACGCTTGATAGCGTTGCGTACTCTGATTCGAGGATCGGCTGCTCTATCAGAAAGGATCTGTTATGTATGCTGCCGCCCGGGTTCTGGGCGCGCATGATACCTACATGTATGGAATCTTAGATCATATCATAGATTGACTTGTCGTTATCTCAGAGTCACCCCGCTTACGACTGAAATGCTGTTATGTTACTCTTGTAAATTCACCAATGCGAGATCTGATCATCGCTGCTTTGGTTTATATTATTTCTGGCGGAACCTGTCTTGCTTAGCTGAGGCGTCAACTGAGTGTTTAATCCATTTTCCCTTTCTGGGCCTGCTCTGTTAGAGAAGATAATAGTTCCTGTAGATGTTAGTTAGTCTTACCTAGTAAATTATCTTCTCGGTCTAATCACCCCATTCATGCATGAGGACCTCAATATGATTGGACTTTGGTCAAGCACACTAAGCAGAAACGTGGCTATCAACCATCGATCTACCAGTCAACTCCCTTGTCATTGCTACATTGCACTTTCACGTAGATAACTTGTACGGGATCATGATTCACTCCCAACCCATTCCTAGATGAGTGATGAGTCAAAAAAAACCTATGTATTGCAAGTATCCTTGCAATATGTTGTAGAAATCTGAATTTTGAGAATCAATTCGCTATAGGCATGGATCTTTGGGCCTTCCATTAGCAGTGAAATCATTTGAGAATCTCAACCGGAATCAATGAGATAAACAGGCACCCATCACCTCCCTCGGAACCAAGGAGCTGAACCACAACCTCTCTAGCAGAACAGGCTAGTCAGCAACAATCCACAGAGCCAATTCTCTACATATTCAACATACCACTATGTATCCCACCACTCCATCTTAAAGCACAATGATAACCCTTCTACTACCAGGACGAGTAATCTCCAAGTTGTCAGCCGATGGTTGAAACCCATGCTCCGACAGAGTCAAGCGATTAGCCCTCACAAATGTGCGTTTCATATGACGCGGCAGCCGATTGAAATCCGCCACGATGCTCCGGTGCAAAGATGCTACTTTCGACTTGGCCTGCAGCCAGGACCCATGGTCTAGATTGAGCTGCGCGGGTGTTGTTGTCGAGTTGACGATTTCCAGCATTGTTCGGTCGTAGATTCCAATTATCGCCTTGATGTAGACTAGTTCTTCTAGGTCGCCGTTGAGGTCGAGGACCTGTTGTAGTATTAGGTTCGTTAGTAGGCAGGGATATGCGTGGATTTGCTTGTACGTACCGCTTGTGGAACTTGGGTTAATCGGGAAGGGGCCATGCTGGTTGGCGGTGGTGTTAGATTGCTTTTGGTGAAGGTGAGATGAGCCAGAGCTCACGCTGATGTTTTGGGTTATGGAGTCGAGATGGGGGTTGATGGAGGTCGAAGAATGAGGTATAAGAAAAGGCAGGTGTTGGGCAATCACCCTGACGAGGTTTTGTCGAATAAAAGAGAAATAGAAAACATGAGAGGAGAGAAGCTCGATAGTTTCCCCATCGGGTGAGCCATTTCATGTCCTAGAGGCTGAGCTTTGAGATTGGATTACAATGGAAGCATTAGAGGCAAACAAGTATCGAGTATACAGATAAAGTATTCTAACAGAACCTATAATACAACAACCTACTTTGTACACATGTGCTAGGGAGTGGATACTGGAATCATACAACAACATTTGGCTGATAACTACATCGGAGACTGGTGGAATACAATTATCAAACAGAACGTTACAGTTCATATTCCAGAGGAGCGGTCATAAGGACCGTGATATGGACATTCATTACAGCGTGTCAGAATACAACGCTACATACAACCGGGACGCCCACATCCCCAGGCACGCCCAACGCTTTTTCGGCTGCATGAAGAGAGGATATGAGGGTAATCAAAAGGGGTAAAAAAAGGGAATCAAAGATGCGACATCACACAGACGTCAACATTTACAGCTGACCAGCAGTGTTGAAGTCCGCAAGGGCCTCCTTAACACGCACGCTCATGGTCTTCTCACCCTCGCGAACCCAGACACGGGGATCGAAGGCCTTCTTGTTGGGCTTATCAGCACCGTCGGGGTTACCGACCTGGGACATGAGGTAGTCCTTCTTGTTGAGGACGAAGTCACGGACACCAGTCAGGTAGGCGTACTGCATGTCAGTGTCGACGTTGACCTTGACGACACCGTAGCTGATGGCCTCCTTGAACTCCTCCTTGGAGGAGCCGGAGCCACCGTGGAAGACGAAGAAGACGGGCTTGTCGGAGGAAGAACCGGTCTGCTCCTTGACGTACTTCTGGTGCTTGGAGAGGAGCTCGGGGTGGAGCTTGACGTTGCCGGGCTTGTAGACACCGTGGACGTTACCGAAGCCAGCGGCAATGGAGAAGTAGGGGCTGATGGCAGCGAGGGCGTTCTGGATGGCCAGGATATCCTCGGGCTGGGTGTAGAGGGAGTTGTTGTCAACATCCTCGTTGTTGACACCGTCCTCCTCACCACCGGTGATACCGATCTCCTATGGAAGCGGTTAGCACTGTATCAAAATGATGCGATTATTTTTTTTTGAGTTGACTTACCATCTCGAGCCACTGCTTCATGGGGGCAGCGCGCTTGAGGTAGGCGGCGGTGGTGTTGATGTTGTAGTCGACGGGCTCCTCAGACAGATCAATCATGTGGGAGGAGAAGAGGGGCTCGTTGTGCAGCTTGAAGTAAGCCTCATCGGCATCGAGCATGCCATCGAGCCAAGGGAGGAGCTTCTTGGCGCAGTGATCGGTGTGAAGAATGACGGGGATGTCGTAGGCGGTGGCCACGCTACGGATGTAGTGGGCAGCGGCAACGGAACCAGCAATGGAGGCCTTCTGGCCCTCGTTGCTCACACCCTTACCAGCGAAGAAAGCGGCACCACCCTGAGAGACCTGCAGGATAACGGGGCACTTCTGGTCACGAGCAGCCTCGAGGGAAGCAACAACGGTGGAAGAAGAGGTGACGTTCTGATGGGAATTAGTACACAATTCCAATTGGAAACAAAAACATAGGAACTCACGATGGCAGGGATGGCGAAGCCATTCTGCTTAGCGTACTCGAAAAGACGGAGGACATCGTCACCGACAATGACGCCGGACTTGCGGCTAAGTTGCTCAAGGACACCCATTATGAAGTTTGTACAAAGATTTTAGTTTGTAGAAATCTAAAGAAAAAAAGAAGGAAAGAGAGTCAGATCCAATGATAAAGTAGTTAAATGTAGTGAAACCAAGCTCCTTACCGGGAGCTGAAAGCGGGCAGAGTTAAATAAGGAGGAGGGGCAAAAGGTAGGGGAGGGGCAAGCGTCATCGGTGAAGGAGAGACAAGGTAGACTCACCGGTGGTGGAGATTTAGTGGAACTGAAGTGAGGTCAGTGTGATTTCAAGAAAAAGAAGAGAAACGAGAGAAACAAGATGAGATGATCTAATATAACCTCTTTATGTATGGCCAGTCCTGGTGTTCCCGGCCTTCCCCGTGATAGCCCGATGTTGTCGTGGTCTTCGGGAGCTATGAAGAGCTTAAGATGGGAATTATGAGGGTATTTTTCCACCTATATCATAAGTTTTTCGCTTTTAATCTCACAATGATCCCATTTATAGACACCAGTTACAGCTAGATAACCAGCTGTAATAGCTGTAATAGCCATTGTAGCTATTGTAGCTATAACAACTAGAATAACTGACCCAGATCCTTTAATGTGCCGGCAACAATCCGTATTTTGTTCGTGGCGGGGCCGAGGACTTCGAGGCCATTCGCTGCATTTCCATTTTCTATTACTTACTATATTACTATATTGTACTCCGTACGTGAGTATGCTTCAGTCATGTTTCATATTCAATTCTTATTGTATTGGGTTTCTTAAATTCATTCACCGGTAAATATGTCATGTATAAAATAACGTACTACTAGTACATCATATGTTGTAGAGAGCGGTACAACATCCAACGTAGAGGGGTAGCTGCAAAAAGTCAAGTGACATCATCGGTATTGTCTGTGCCGCTTATCGGAAGTTACTATTCCCCCACCCCTTTTAGCATTCTGACTATTCTATATTGAGCATTTCTAATTTCTAATGGCCTTGGTGATTTCATACATCTCTCTAAATAAATCTCCTTTTAATTGATTCACCCCCATTTGTACAGAAGTACAGGGATATGTGTATATACTGGACTCTAAAAGAAGAAAAAGAAAACGGTCATGCACCCTTGGTAGGTTTCGCCTCGGGCTTCTCCAACTCGTAGAACAAGAGGTAGACCTCCCTCTGCATTCCCAGCACGTCCGAAGTTTTACATTCTTTGATTTTCTCGTCGGAGATGCGCCACCAGCGATCGTTCGGTTTGCGACGGCGCCGAAGCCGCGAACTGACCCCAGTGGGGGTATCCTGGGAAGGGCGGGGTATGCTGTGAGAGGGCCGCGGGGAAGATGGACTCCAGCGACCCTGGTCTGTCGTCGGGCTGTTGCTATCAGAGGTAGGGGACAATGTCGGTTTGGAGGAACGAGAGGTGGTGCTCTGGAAAGAACGACGAGAGCCAGAGGTTGTAGGTTGTGGTTGAGGAGGGGTGAGTTGGGTCGCTGAAGCTCCAGATAGCGAGGTCGACGAGTCTGCTCTCGAAATACTCCGATCACCGTCGGTATCGGGGCTGCTGCGCGGTACAATCCGAGGACTGGGTGCTGCGGATGGGTTCTGACTGACGGTGCGACTCTGTGCATAGGAGCTGAAGACCTCGGGCGTAGAAAATGGCGGGTAAATATGATTCCGTCGGAAAGACTCGTAGTGTCCACTATGGTGGCTCCCTTTGTGGCAGACAATCGCGAGCAGCTTGTACCATTTTTGGCTTAAGATGCTTCCCAAGGGGAGTCGCTCCGGGAACGAGACCTTGGCCGCGTTCTTGCTCGAGCTGCTCTGATCAAAGATCGACCGCGATAAGTGGATGGCGATGACCTTTGGGAATGCAGTGATGCGCATATGCCGCGCAATCCTGCGCTTGGGGGCGGTCTCTGACGGAGGGAATACGATACCCTCGAGCTCGGCCTCAGGGTCGGTCTCCAGAGCCTCACGGATGCGCGAAATCTCCTGCTCCAGCCGATATCGATCACCTTGTGTTCGGGCGCGGGCTAGTTCGGTGGTCTTGGCATCCACGGCATGCTGCAGGCGGCATCGGTCGCAGCGGAAATCCTCGATATATTCAGTCTTGAGGAGGCCGTCGAAGCAAGAGTTGAGCGTAGTCGAGCTCTTCTGCGGAACCTGTAGTGTCAAGTTGACAAAGGCCGTCTGGTTTGGCTTGTATTGGTAATGGCAGAATTGGCACTCGATCTGCGACTCCATTTTGCCTTCGAACGGGAACCCAGACTCCCGGTCGATTTCCTTGAGCTTCGTGTCGATGATGGCAGGCAGTCCGTTGGCTGATCCATCATCGATGCGCACCTCCACCTCGGACGAGCTTTCTTGTGAGCTGCCCTCTTCGCCTGCCGTACTGGAAGCAGCTGCATCAATGGCACCCAATGCTCGTTGACGTGCGCGCGCACCAGCATGATATTCATCGCAGAGTCGCTCGAGAACAATCTGCAAGAATTCCTGCGCATCCTGCTGATTGCGGCTAATGCGCGTGCGGAACGCGTATTCCAAAGCCTGGATGAAGTCACGGGCCGAGATCGTTTTCTTATAGATCGGCCGCTCGTTCAATCGGTCCAGCATTTCCTTCAAGGCCCGTGTAGTTATCCCCTGTTGCAATTCCCGCAACTTGTCTGACCGCGCCGGCGAAAGTTCATCCTCGCTCGGAAGTGTATGGTATATTTCCGGTCCGTCCAGCTGGCGCCGGTGCAGCTCGTGGATCAGGTAGACCCGCAGGTCCCCCAACCCGGCTAATGCCTGCAGCACCGAATTGATAAAGCAGTCATTGGCCAGATTGGACAGTCCCACGATACTCTTCTTGCGATTACTGTCGTTTGATTCATCTCCATCGATTGTGTAGTTCGGTCCGAAAACGTAGAACAGAGCAACGGCAGCGAGCGAGGCCCCGGCCGCATAGGCGGCGACCGTTGTCGGCTTTTCTTGCATCAAGCACTGTGGTATAGAGGAAGGAAGGTTCGGCGGTTCGTGTAGGTGTCGAAGCAGGCAGACTTCAATCTCATTACCCCATCATCGGATTAGCCCGGATGTAGGTAAGGGCGTGGATTGTCCTAAGAGAATTGATCACAAGAGAAGTCCAAGGTGGGGTCAGGGTCTTCCAGGGTTGAAGGGCTGACGGATCAATTTTGAGTGCACAATTGACTAAGTTCGGGGAAGATGGGAGAAGGGGCGAGAGTGGAGCGTGCTGCGGTTTATGCGGAGAAAGAATCAATGAGCATTTTCATCCGGAGCCCGAAATCAGGTTAGCCACAGCCAAACGGAGCAAAAACTCCACGATCGTCCCGACCCAAAGGTGAAGGGCGCACATTCCGGTCTTCGTTTTCGCGTGAGACTCTCATTTCATCCAATAGGGCATTCCTCTTCGTTGTAATGGGTTAGACTCCGACGGACGGATTCTCCGGATATCCGTCTTACACATCCCCGCATATTAAGGAGGTTGACCGCGGTTACATGTAGTCTGGGGTAAAGTGAGCCATATCTTACCTGGACAAGTTTTGAAATGTCAATGACATGGATGTCAGAATATCTATCTATCGGAAATATGGGCTTAGGCCTCTCAAAAGAAATATAAACTTTCAGACAAGTCATCATTGCCATGTAGAAGGGATTCGCTTGAAACGAATGGAATGATTGGCCAACAACACCAAGATAAGTATTTCAAAGAGCCCTATCTAACTTGACTATTTAGGTACTAATATCACCAGCCTGTCACACTGATAGAGACACTGCAGATCTTCTACGGCTGTTCTAGAAGGAAACAAGGAACGATTCATGATAACTATCTTCAGCATCTGTCATAAGTCTGAACCTGCAACTTTTGTAGCATTCCTTATCTGGAACTATTTCTATCAAATGCACGTAATCATGTAATATTTATCCCTTACATAGACAGACGCCTACCAGCACAGCAGGCTTAGGCCTGAAGCGACTTAGGCAGGGTAGCAACCTTCTCATCGAAGAGCTGCTCAGCCTGCTTCCAGACCCGAGCGTTGGCCCGGTCATTAAGCGTGAGAAGGCTAGGCAAGAGAGCCTCGCTGAACATCTCAGAGCTCTCACGGGGAAGGAGAGACGGGAGGTGGTCAATGCTGATCACGCTGAGAGGCAGGCCTCCAGCCTCAAGACCGGACACGGGAACTGTGGGCTTATCAAAAGTGGTCGTAATGTCGTACAAAGGAATGGGGTTCAGAGGGTTGGAGCTTTTGAGAATTAGCAGTGCGCTCGCTGGCATGGTTCATATCCGATAACTCACGTGTCGGCGCTGACGTCGCAGATAACAGACAGGGTTCGGTTAGGGGCAGAAAGTGACTCGACGTTCACGAAGGCTAACGCAAAAAAAAGGAGATATCAGCAAATTGCATATAGACAGGGGGATGTATGTGTGAAAGTACCTGGAATCTTAGCCGACAGGTAGATGCAGTTCACGAAGATATCCGCTTCGTGTGAGATTTCCTTGAAAGGACCACCTGCGAACGTTAATTTATGAGCTTAGATTAGATTGAAGAGGTTGGAGATAGCAATTGACTCACCTCGCGCAGTCTCTGCCATATCCCACTCAATGATGTTGGACTCGGGAATACCGACATCCTTGGCCAGCTGCACAGCACCGCTGCCACAGCGTCCGAGCTATTGCATTGTTAATATGTATATCGCTCTGCTGTGGATATACGCAAGACTCACAGCTCCAATCACAAGGATCTTAGGTGCCTTGCCAGCGACCTTCTTGCCAGCCTCAAGCGACTCCTTAACAGACTCGACCAGACGGTCTTGGTTGGCATAAGGAACCTCGCCAGGCAAGGTCTCGTTGGGGTGTGTCAATTGCCAAGCCCAGTTCTTCACAGCCAAAGCAGATCCTGTTCCACGTCTTAGTATTGATTGTTTCAGGGAAACCAGCTTCACGTATAAATACCTGCGTAACCGGCGGACCATCCGAAGGCTAGTAAACAAAAAGAAGTTAGTCAATTGAATCCAAACAATAACACTCCAGGAGATGAGTCTTACCAGCAACTCGGCGTCCGGTATCATCAGTCAAGAATTCTAGGTCGAGCAATGTGCCCTTGCCGCGAGGCCAGCGGCTAAGGACCTTCTCCCAGCCGCCTTGCTGCTTGAAGCAGTGTGCGAAAGTGACATGAACGTGCTCCAGAGGGAAGTCATCCTCTGGCAGCTCCTTGAGACCCAGAATGACGGCATCCTTGGGCGCATCCTGAACCCAGGATCCCTCCTTGACCAAAGGTGCACCAATCTATAACAATTGCTGATATTTAGGGCGGGTCCGAGCTATACTACCGAGAGAATCATACCTTGGAGAATTCCTCATCTATAGGGCGGAATCAGCCATACAGTCCAACAGCAAGGGATGGGGGGAGTGTAGAGGATATAGGAGATTGGACGTACCGTCAAAGATACGCTGGGTAGACCGCTCAACAGTCACATCATATCCAGCATCAATCAATGCCTTGCAGGTAGTCGGGGTCACTGGATGGTGTATCAGCCAATTGCTTCCCCGCCATGGCAAGTGGGCTGAAGCTACTCACAGGCAGACCGCGCCTCAGCGGGCTTGGTCTCAGCGCGCAACCAAATCTTTTGTCCAGTCATTTTGGAAGTAGGAAATTAAAATATGATGAAGAAGGAAAAAGAAATCAAACAAATATTAATTGCTCTATCACCAATAATGACACAGACTTTCCCTCCAGTAATAAGCGGGGATGGCGAGGGTTATTCCGCTCCGAGAAATGACTCAGTCCCGATTATCGGCCGCTTGAAACTCAACCTTCCGAAAGAGCCGTGGGTTTATGCATTCAAAGTTATAGGATTTAATTCCGAAAAAAAATTAACTAGTTCCCTAGAAGGAATTTTACCATGAAATTAGATCGGAGATTTAAAAGTGGTAACGTTATGTCAACCGGAAGTTATGGGGCAGCGCAGTGGTCTACTATATACTAGTACAGGGTACAAACAGTTCCTTTTCTTAAAACGTCATACAGGATCAAGAATATCTGCGGTAGAACTTCTGTGGTTCTTGAATTTCAAAATATTTCCCGTCCAATTTGGTGAGGGAAAGTATATTCTTCCTATTGCAGCGCGTGTACAGCCACAACCATCAGAAGTCCCGGACATGAATAGACACAATTCAACGTTGGAGCAAACATGATGGCATGGAAGTAACACGGCAAACCAGTAAATAGTGTGCCCTCGGTCTATTCAAGCTCCCTTTGTCCGGCTGCGAGTCCGGCTACCAATGCCATCTCCTGGGATAACCTTGTTCACGGCATCCTTGATCTTATCCTTCTTAGACCGACTTGCCTTCTTCTGCCCTCCACTGTCTGCGTTGGAGGGAGCAACAGCAGCGGTGCCATTAGAATTTGTGACAGGCTTCTCGTCTGTCTTCAGCTTCTTGGTATCAGGCTCATCCGACGGTTCAGGCTTTCGTTGCTCCTCATCCTCAGCCAGAGCCGGAGTGGGCGTCACAGTTGAATCAATGTCACGCTTCTCGCCCGCCACTATTTCATCCTTAGGCCCTACTGGGATTTGGGACTCACGGGCAACAGGAATACTGCCGAGAGCAGATCCTTTAGGCTCTGTCACAGGCGGCTTGGTTTCTGGGGTGGGCTTGGGTGTCTCAAGCCCTTCCGCTGCCTTCAGCGGGTCGGTGTCTATATTGGAGTTTTCTGTTTGGGCAAGAGGTGGGCTATCCGTTTGAGTTGTGTTTAATCTGTTCTGGAATGCATGCGAATGTTCCTTGACTAGCTGGGCAGTGTCTCGATCTGTTAGATCCCTTAGTCAGCGGCTTTAAGCAAAGAAACGCCGTTTAGCAACCATATCTTGAGAAAATATGGCTGCTTAGACCAATTGATCCTTGAATTCTATAGTAGTGCATGTGCAGATAAACCACGTACCTGAAGCTGCACTGTTCTGCACGGGGGCTCCTTCAGTAGCCATTGTGGATCGATGATGTCAGATGCCGGCACAACGTGTGTCAAATTGGTAAAGATTGAGTGGGAGGGTATTCGCAAAAGCAATGCGACTGCAATTCTTATCCGGGCGAATTTGTAGGAGGAAAGAAAGAAGCAAAGAAGAATTGGCTAATTTGGGGGGAGCGTGAGGTGAGGTCGCGCGGTGACGTACTTGAGAACACTGGAGACACTGCCCCCGGTTGATTCGCCGCTCCAGCCCTCTAACTCTCCACGGCATTCTGTCGCACAGCCTCAGCTCCAGAATAACAATTGTCACGCAATGTTCTCCACCGGAGGTAGCTGTGGGCACCACACAATTGCTAGAGGTGAGTACTCGATCACAAAGGCTGTGAATCTTATCATTAGTCAGGAGGCCGTGTAAAGATGTTTAATAAGTTATGCTCTTCATTGAGCCCAAGAGGCTTGTCTAAGAAACTGGCTGAGCCACTATTGGCAATGGGTTATATATATCAGGGGGATAAAAAGGGTTTCGTATATTCGATATAACGAAGAGACAAGCTTGAGGATAATTGATAGTATTTAGGTGCATCACACACCTCCAAATGCGGGTTTAGCCAAGTCCTCCTCGGAACTCAAATCCAGGAGTGTATGCACGACCGCCAAGAAGCAAGAAGACGAGGCTCTAACCCGGGATGGAGTAGCGGCAGTGGATTTCCTTTGTACGGTGAATTGGAAAATGAAGGCTTGTCGAACAGCCAGGCTGAAGTAATTTCAATTGTGTGATAGGACACAATGAATTCGGAAGGGGAATTGTATACTAGCAGTATGCCGACATGACTGCAGTGATCCTGCCTATAGCCGCCTCTTATAGGAGAAACTTCGACAAATGTGTGCGCCTCTTTCGGTGTTGGTGTTGGCTTAGATGCTCTTCAAACATCCTAGCTATGTGTGGGAATAGAGTGGTTCAATAAGTTTGAGATCAGAGGATCATGAAAAACTCCAGTTCAAACGGCCAAGATGTTCCTCTTCAGACATTGTATGTGTCTTCTCATCGACTGGAGCTGGCTGTTCGGGTAGCAATTCTGAGATATGTTCCTCCAGCCGGGAGATATCACGGAACCTCTTCTGGTCAACGAGGACGCGAAGAGCCTCCGAACCAATCTCGAAGAAAGCATCGCGCCTAATTTCATTCCAAGCCTGGAATTTGCTTGGTGAGAGGCTTGCCACGAATTGGAGGAATGGGCGTGGATCAGGATCTGTTGGGTGACAGACAGCCACAGATGCTACCAGCAGGGACCGAGGAGACAGCACGGAAACCGTATCCCTGAACTGGTCATATACTACCGTTGATACCTGCTCACTCGATGGTTTGTGCTCCATGGCCATACGGCTCAGGTGAGCACCTGCAGCCAGGAGCATCGGTTTCCTTGACTTATGGGAAGAAGCACTTTGGAAATGCATCTGGCATACACTCAGATAATGTGCCATCGCCGAGCTGAAGCCATTTCCAAAGGAGACTTCTGCATCTATAAAATCAACAAGGAGATGATTGAAGGTCTGCCGCGCAAGACCTTCAGTCATCCGGCCATTCTGACTACCTAGGTCATGACTCATGAGCATTTGCAACCACTGCATGACAGTACTGTGCAATCCCTCTGCCACCATGAACTTGGTCAATGATGTAGTCACTGAGCGCAAACGCAGAAGCATTTGCCTTGATGTGCCATCTGATGCCCAATACCAATCAACAATCCTCGATGCCACCCGAGATGTATTCATATCGGCCGGGGATCTAGAAAGGAGAAGTTGAGACTTTAGACAATCATTGATCGCGAGGGTAGTGACTGAGCCAGCTGCAGCCATTTGATCAAACACCGCCATGGGTTCTTCGGCTAGTCGTCGCTGGCCTTCGATGCTTTGCAATGTGGCGGGTTCTTGTGTGATGGGTCTGGTCGGAATTATACGGAAAAGAGGGTTATCGAGAATGTTCTGCAAATGCTGATCGGTTGCATGCGCTGATGATTCGGGGTTGGGGAGAGGTCGGCCATGGTTGTTGCCTGATGCGGGATAAGCCCCATCTAGTTGACGACGAAAGGAAGATGTGAGGGCATTTAACAGTTGCTGAGACTCTCGTGGAGTACGAGGCAAGGGTTGATGGATTTTGGGCCATGACTTGAACTGAAAAATAGATGTACCCTTCATGATGGTGAGAGTTGGCGAGTTTCTCTCAATGATATGGATGATGATGCATCAAGTGTAGAGAGGGAGGATCGACGAGGGCGGTGAAACAAGCCTTCTCCCTTCCAAAGGGCGAAAAAAAGGTGCGCAGGGTGAATGACGAGTAGAAGAAACTAACCACACTGACACTAATTCAATGAAAATAATATTATAAAATGATTTTCATTCAATTAGGAGAATATATATAGAACTAAAATATCTATATCTATAAATATAATTCAATATAATTATACTCAATCAAAATACCTTAAAAAACATGTAAAGAAATGTAAAAGATCCCCTTTGTTACTGTAAAATTCCCCCAGCATCCAATAAGCGCCACTCGCTAAAAGCCAGGCAACGCCAAGACTTGAAGGGAAGCAACTCAGATCCCGTTAGCTTTTGATCCTTTCTTCAATCTTGTCATCTCCTAAACGTATTCTTCCTCTCCCCCCAATTAATCTCTTTGATTTTACCTCTTTCTTTCGTCTCTTCTGGCCCCCGTGCCTGTGGTTCTGGTGCTGTTCCTCTTCTGCGAGGGTGCTCCATTTCAATAGCCTTTCCTTGCGAATCGTGACCTCCTTCCTCCCTCAATACTTCTCCATCTCACACATCTTCATCAATCAACATGTCCGACATTCAGAACCGGTCCTCCGCCTCGCGGGGTAGAGTATCCGCCCGTGGTGGCCGTGGCGGGTTCAGCTCCAGAGGTGGTCGTGGTGGAAACAGATCTGCAAATGACAACTCAGACATCTCATCCTTTGAGGAGGGTGAAATTGGACAGATGAAGAAGAAGTACTCCGACACTCTCCCAACTCTTAAGGAAATGTTCCCAGACTGGAAGGACGAAGATCTGGTGTTCGCACTGGAAGACTCGAACGGCGAGCTCTTGGAGGCAATTGAGCGCATCAGTGAAGGTCGAGTTCCCGTCAACCCCAATCTTCCCGACTCGAAATCAATCGAATCTTGTGATTCGAGGACCATGACTGACTGGCTTTGCAGGTAATGTATCTCAGTGGGGTGAGGTCAAGAAGAAGACCACAGACCGGACTCGCCCTAAGCCCAAGGAGGCCCCCAGTGCCTCAACCGAGACGACTGCAGCTTCCGCTCGTGGAACCCGTGGTCGTGGTGGAATAGAGAGCCGTGGACGTGTTCGCGCAGACCGGGGCCGTGGCGGTCGCGGAGGCCGTGCAGGAGCCACTACAAATGGAACTCGCGCAGTGTCCGCTACTGTAGAGACTCCCGCGCCTACTGCTATTCCTGCTATCACATCCGAGTGGGCTGCGCCCAAGGCAGAGGAGACCGTTGCAGAGCCTTCAGCTGAAGGTGAATTGGAGTCGACCGAGGCTAAGAGCAGTGTGATTCCTGAGGGCACAAAGAAGGGGTGGGCGAGTCTTTTCGCCAAACCACCCGCTCCTCCGGTCCAAAAGAAGCCCCAAGCTCCTCCTCCTGTTCCCGTTGCCGAGAAGCCCGCCGAACCTGTCGCCGAGCCGTCTCCCCCCTCCCCCGCTCCTGAACCTGTGACTGCGCCCGCTGCCTCCCAGAAGACACCCGTTGCCAAGCCCACTCATCCTGTGATCCCTGCCATTCCGACCACCGCTGTTAACCCTCCCAAGGGCGATTTGACCGAGACAAACCTCGAACAAATTCCCGATGTATCCGCTCCCGCTCCTACCGCCACCGCCGCCAGTACCATTGGCAGTGGTATTGACGCCGCGACTGTGGCCGCAGCTGCTACTACTCCCTCCCGCTTCCCCTCGTCTGCCTACCCTCCCAGCGCTACCAAGCAGGGCCGTACCCCAGGTCTTCAACGCCGTGTGATGGAACAGCAGCAGGCCGTGGTCATGCCCGGCAACCACGCAGTGGACCGCGCTGCGGTTCAATTTGGTAGCATGGGCCTGAACGGTGACGCTATCGATATTGATGAGAACCGCGAGGAGGCCGAGACCCGCGCTCAGCCCCCGCAGCACTCCCCCGTTGCTCCCCGTGCCTCTCTTCCACCCGCGACTCAGGCGCCACACTCGATTGAGACTGGTGCCGCTGGGCGTCCTGCTCCTGGTTTGCCCCCGGTCCCCCAGGGCGCTTCTGCCGACTCTTTTACCGACTTCGCTCGTTACTCTGAGCCCCAGCAGAAGCCATTTGATCCGTTCACCCAGCAGGTGAGCCAGCCGCAGCCGCAGATCCCAGAGCCGTTTGCCAACCAGGCCCCTGCTCAGCCCACTGCCACCACCGGCAGTGAGTACTCTCCTTTCTACGCCGCCGAACAGCAGCGTTTCCCCTACTACGCCTCCTATGGCTCTTACGGCCAGACCCAGGAAGCCCCCGCCGGTCCTCGTGCCGGAGCTGGGTTTGGTGTCTCTGGTGCTGAGGCCCAGGCTCAGGTCCCCACCACCCAGCCTCCCAACCGCTACGGCCCCATTGACGCCACCAACAGCGGACACAACACTCCTAACCCCACCGTCCCCGGCGCCACTCAGCAGACCCCCACTGCTCAGCACATGCCTGGCCAAAGTGCGCAGCAGCACGCTTATGGCTACCAATACCCTAACTACTACAACAACCCCCACTACGCTTCATACATGAACCAGATGGGCCAGCAGCAGCAGCAGCAACAGCAGCAGCAGTACGGTGGCGGTAACCGCCCAAGGTACGATGATGCTCGCCGGTATGAGGATCACTACATGCAACAGCAACAGCAGCACAACCAGCAATACGGCTATGGTAGCCAGTATGGTCCCTACGCCGGTAAGGGTGGCATGTACGGCCAGCCCCATGGTGCTTTCTCTTATGACCAGCAATCGTCTTCCCCCGCAAACACCGGTAGCTTCAGCCAGGCCATGCCCAGCCGCGACTCAGTCTACGGCCGCACTGGCTCTGCCCAGCAGTCTGACAACCAGTCCGCTACTGGCGCCAATGCATTCGGTACTGGGATGTCGGATGTCTTCAGCCGTTCCCAGGGCAGCTTCGGCCAAAATCCTCCCATCGCCGGACAGCCCCCCGTTGCCGCTGACGAGACCAAGGGCTTTGAAGCCCCTAAGGCCGGCGGTCCCAGCCCCTCCCTCGCCCAGAACCGCCCAGGATCCGCTACCAACAGCGTCCCCGGTCAGCCCCAGGCACAGACTGGTCTTCCCCCGCTTCAGGGTCAACAGGGTCAGCAGTCCTTCGGTAGCTACCCTCAGCTGAACCCCCAGTACGGTGGACTCGGTGGACTCGGTCACCAGGGTGCGGCCACCCAGACTCACCAGGCCTCTGGCTATGGTAACAACTACGGTGGAGGCTTCGGTAACTACTATGGAAACTCTGGCCGTGGCGGCTGGGGTGGCAACTACGGCCACTAAAAAGACAAAACGAAACGAAGGGGAGACATAATGACCCACCAAACACATATGGCGTTGCATTTGCGGATGATTTGAAAAGGGGTCTGTCTGGTCTTTTTGTTCACTTTACAGTGAAAGAAACCTCATGTCTTGTCAAAAAGAACAGACAGCACCCAGATATCTCTTCATCTTTCTCTCCTCAACATCTGTGTAATCTCTACTTCTCTTTCTTTTTGGGGAGCTTGGCTGGTTTTCTTTACTTTGGGGGACTGTCTTCTTGATGTTTGTTTGTTTTCTTTCTCGTTTCCTTGCCCTTCCTCTCAGCCGTCTTGCTCTTCTTTGCTACCACTGCTCCCACCTGATGCGGTCTCTGTATTAAATTCACCAATTCCTCTCTAGGTTTCTCTGTTTTTCTTTTTGTTTTCTCGCTATAACCTAGTCGGTGTCTATTCGGGTCCGGTGTGTCACTTGTTTCCGCGGACGGTTTTCCAGTTTTTTTTTTTTTTACTACCTACTTCTCCCTTCTGTTATTCTGTCTTTGTGCCTCCTCACCATGTGCAATATCGGTCGATGATTATGATGTATGGCTGAATGGGTCTGGCAGAGGTAGATCCAATGCTCAGTTGCGTTCTGGGCTAAAAAGTGTCATGAATTATGTATGTCCTGTATGGCACCTGTCTTTGGAGACTGTTCTAGTATTGTAAACTGTAGCTCTTGTAATCACAAGAAAGTACTAGACTTCCGTTGTTCGCCAGCATCAAGCCTCTACATGTACTTCCATAAGATCAAAGATGCATACCATCAACTTAGTTTAAGATACCATATCATTAGATGGAAAGGTTGAGCCGCCTAGTCCAAGCATATAAGCAAGCGCGCGGCTTCGACTTCAACCTGGACCATGAACTATATACAATCAAAATGCAACATGACAGGGTACAGAATAGGAATCCAAAAAGTCAAATCTATGTGGCGCAAGCAAGGCCCCAAGACAATTTGAGATGAACAAAAAAAATGTATCCGACTCCAGCGACAATCTACTCAGTGAGACCGAGACCCTCACCGCCAACCTTGTGGTAAGGCGGCTGAGCGCCAGCAGCCTTCTGAGCATCGAAGCGCCAGATACCGCCAGTCTTATCAGACTCGAAAGCAAGATCGGCCGATTTAGCAAGACGCTGGATCTGGGCGTCGTCAGCACCCTCAATACGGTTGAAGAAGCGGCGCTCCCACTCCCGGCCTGCCTCCTTCTCGATGCGGCGCTGTTCGCGCTGGGCAGTCTCAATGCGTGACTTGTATCCGGAAACGGCATCCATGTCTCCCTTCTGGATGTTGGCAGCCACATCGCTCCAGGCACGTCGGCTTTCGTACAGATCTTGTTGCTCGAGGGGAGCTAGGGCGAGCGGAGTGACGGGGTTCTCCTTGGCGTTCCAGGAGTCGATGACCTCCTTGGTGCGGGCGTCCTTGATAGCGAACTTATCCGACCATTGACCCTCTACCGTGTAAAGGGGCTTTTTCTCACCCTCGCTCTCCTTGAACAGGCTCGCGGTGAAGGTATTCTTCTTGCCGCTCAGCCAGCCCTTGCCGGAATAGTCGATCTTGGCGACATAGCCGGTGCTGCTGACGATCTTGGTTGACTTCTCCAGCTCCACGAAGGGCGAGCCGTAGATCAGC